ACGCTTTCGCACACATCCACGGCCCCACCCAGTGGCGGCCCTAGAGCGGTGCCACCACACCGGGCGCCGTTTCCGGGGGGGGGGGGGGGGGGCGCCGAAATCGACCGAAATGCTACCACCGGCCACCGGTCCTCAATTCACTCACTTTTATCACTGACATTTTGTTTTGTTGACGCTAATTAGGAAGTCCAAGCATGAGTATTTTGTTGCTTACAAGCCAGTAAGTAACTTTTCGGAAAAAAGACTTGCTGGTCTCTTTCTTGATGAAATTGTACAAGTGTTTGACTTAGACATTAATGATTGTCGAGGTCAAGGGTACAATAATGGTGCGAACATGGTAGGAAAATTAAAGCAGAATTTGATTCAATAGTCTCGGGCATTTTTCAACCTATGTGTGTGATGGGTCAAAAATGGGCGTCGACGCAGGCTTTGAAATTTATGGAAAATGCCCCAAATTCAAACTTAGTATGAATTAGAGTAGATTCACCTCCACCTTCCAGGAAGAAATTTTCGTCATACTTCAGTGTGCGGAAATAAATCTCCAAAAACACTACGTAAATCATATCATCAGCTTCAGCTTCCCGAACGCTGCCCAGTTTAATTGAATCCGCCTATCGGCTTCGTTCTCGTTTAAAAACACTACGTCAATTATATAATCTATATAAACTCTGATAGTCAAGCAGCATTGCTAGCGCTGATATCAAAATTAGTGAAATCGAAGCTAGTTGGAGACTGCATGAACCATCTAGACGCCTTGGGATATAACAACAGGGTCATTTTAAGAGCGCATATTCAAATATGTCCAAGTCGAAATCTACGCGATCGCTTTGGAACGGCATAATAATGACGCACACTACAATGTTATCTCTGTGTGCGTGTCAGGGCGAGCGTGAGACTATAATAGTTGTCTAACGACGACTACGAATCACTTTGATCTTTGATTATATACCTGTCTTCGATACTATTGGAACTAAAATAATAAAAAAACAATAATTTCCATATAATGGCTTATATAGTGTATAGAAATCGGAGGCTAATATGTGGAAATTGTTTTATTCTTTTAGTAAATTGAAGTCGGCTTTACATTTTCACCCTATTGAGTATATTATAATATGTATATGTTCTAATTGAAAAATACGTATTGTATAAAATATATATATATCATTTGATAAATCTTTATTCTGTTTCATAATGTTAACATTATTCATCAAACTAACAATTTCATTAGTGTCGGCGGGGATTAGTGTTGCCAGGTCTAGCAAGTAAAATTTCGGGACGGAAGGTAAAAATAATCGGGGATTTGGTTTTCATATCCGGACAATTACAATGACTACCAAATATAGGTTTCTTTGTAGCCTTTTTGTGTTTTATTGAGAGCCGTGGTAGCTCAGATGCTCAACGCTCACTGTAAATATCACAGTATGCGAGTAATGCGAGAAATTGTGACTGTAACTTTACTTTACTTTTGTGCTTTATAATTATTATTCGGGTCAGATCTCATAAACGAATAACTTTTCATCCAAGCATCGTAAAAACTGTTTTTTTTTTAATTTTGGGCAAATAAAACATTTTTGAACTATTTGTTTTTTTTTTTTGCAGTCCCTGAATATTTTTCAAATCACTCATTTTAATATAATTCTGTTTAAAACTTTTGTGGTTTTTTTTTCGACTGGTGAGACGATGTCGTAATAAAAATATTTTAATGTGGTAGTAGCTAACAGATGTAATCATTTTTGCTGTCAAAATTACGGATTAAAGTATAAAATAAGAAGGTTAGTGAAAATCGAGACATTTGGCGTCCCGATCATGGGTGAATCGGAACGTGTTACTAGACCCTTGAAAATCGGGACGTCCCGCGCAAATCAGGACACCTGGCAACACTAGCGGGGATCGAGCCCGGATTATAGCTATACTGGTTTCTATTTCGAAACACACCCAACGGACGACACCCACGATAATTTCTGTACATTCATTCATCATTCATTTCTGCCTATTAAAATTTCACTGCTGATCATAGATGATATTTATGTCCATTTTTGTAATTCTCCAAGAGAAATATTGGATCTAAATCCAATATTTCTCATTTAATTTATTAAAATAACAAGCTGCGTTCGAAAAATAACATTTATTTCCAACACTACATTCATGCATATTGACAAAATTCTAGTTTCAGATGTACATTGATTTACGAGTTGGAACTACGACAAAAAATTAAGATCACAGAGATACGAAGATGTAAAAAAAACCGCTAACATCTTCTTACTGTTCTGGAAATATCTTACATCTACCTTATTCTTATAAATTTAAAACTTTGTTATTGGTCACAAAAGTAAAAACAATATTATCTTAAAATACTTAAATATATATTTGCTACAGTCTTAAGAAATTCAATTCAATTATAAATATAGGATTATAATACTTTAAACCATTTTAAGATGGTAATATTGAATTGAACTAAGAACATTAATATTTTGTCATTGTTTTAAAATACCGAAACAACACGAATAAAAAATAGACAAGGAGATTTAATAATTTTCTTATGACAACGATCAAATCTAAATTCAATATATTGGACAGGTTTATAGAGTGTAGTTACATTAGCTTTAAATACCTAAAATGCAGACCTGGCAGTTTTTTTAAATCTCATGTTTATAAAATTATGAAGCTCACTGAAACTCCTCCGACCTGATATGCAAGAGCCTGCTTACACATACGAAACACCTATAATGTGATGCAATTCATTATAAATGAAAATATCGTTATTCCATGTTGACGCTAACAGCATCACAATTAATATTGTACCAATTTATATCAAATTTTATGTATATTTACATAAACGGCTACTAACTGGATTATTTGTGGCGGTCTTGGTACTTAAATATATCACAGGTATAATATCTTGATGCTATTGTTTGAAATGGACATTTTGTACATTTATTTACAAAGGACGCTTAAGTTATTTCAAATATATTGATTTTTATTAATATGAATTTTTTGCGTATAATATCAAGCCCAATATGGATTAAAAAATAGGGACAAGTTGAATACATTAGAGCTTATACTGTATAAATTGTTCACACTACTTGATATAGGTTTTACAAACTTTCAGTTAATAATTTATATTTAAGTTTTTTATAAATGATCTTTTTATGAATTTTTATAGTGACTTGTCAGAAGATCGCCTCGATAATTATTCGTTCACAAATAATTTTAAGCTAAGATGAAGATATCACTACCAACATCTAAATATCAATCCACAAATTAGAAAATATATAATTATAGAAGTACTACACTAATTAATATATCAAGTAAAGAAATAAAAAATCAGTCACAAGTCTTTCTAAAACAAATGTGAGACTAGTCGACTGACAGTAACCCCAATATGATATTTTACAAATATACACACAAAAACATCACAGTTCAACATGGAGCACGATATTTCTCGGCGTCGAAATTATACAACCATTGCATATTAGACACAAGCAAACTCCTGAAGAAATACGATTAGAAAAAATTGTATTCTATTTTATGTAAAATAAACTATTGATCATTATAATTGACCCTTATAAGTTGCAGCTTAAGTGAACGTAGATCGCAACATTTTTCAACTTTGGCTCATCCACACTGGAGCAAACAGTGATTCATAATATGCGTACAATGTACTCTGCTTAGCTTCTACTTGCCTTGCTGCAACCTTATTCTTACAAAAATCAAAGTTGCATTACACAATATTTAAAAAAAAATAAATGCTTCAAGTGGACGAGGATTTAGAAACCCATTTACATTCACGTTTTTCTTAGAAATAATATAAACACTTAAAGAATGTAAACGTGTCTAAAGTACGTAAATTCGACTCTGTGATATTTATATATACTATTAAGTTTTGTTTTATTACATACAATACAGTCCTACTGAAATATTTCACAAATAAATTTATGTAAAGCCAAATTAAATATAATATACTTATAGAATCATTTGAGATCATATATCAAAGGATAAAAATCTTTTAACAAAAAACAACATTTTATATGATTATTGTACTTTATATGGACATTCGAAAAATGTTATAAGTGCCTTGATATAACATAACACACATCCGTACACACCCATCAGTTATCTGCTACATCTAACACACGTCGAGTCTCCACATGTAAATGATATGTAGTGTATAAATGCTAGACACAAGTTAACAGACAATAATAACAATTCAATGACTATAAGGCAATTTATAAGCTGGTCAATTAAATTGCTAAGGCAATAAAAACCAATAATTATGCTACATGTGAAATAAAACAAACTTACTTATTAGTTATAGGAATATAGCTTAACTGGTTCTCTGTCCACGAAATAGACACAATAGTTAAACAATTGAAATGTACATATATGATACAGGACAGGGAAAGAGTTAAAAATATTTTTGTTTCAGTCATAATAAGCACTTTTAAAGCTTTATTAAAAGATATTTAAATATGTCAAAGAGTAAAACAATGCGATTGGCTAAAATTTATCAGATATCCAGTTATAAATTTTAGACAATCAGTAACAAACAAAAATAAATGAAAAATTATATAACATAAGGGCATACACTGTAGTATTTTAAATGACATCTCCGTTCTGTGACCAAAGAGCATAGTAGTAATAAATGTTCATAAAACAGAGTAACCTCTTTATAATAAATATAAATTCTAAACCTTGGCACTCATCACGCAATGCACACCGAATCTATATTTGTAAGCAGCACTTCATAACATTTTACGAACATAAATATTTATCTTAACCTAAATAAACACACAAAAATATACATGATCTAAAACATTATTGTTACAGACATCACATTTCTTAGGACACTTGTATTTGTCTTGTTAATGAAATTCGTTGCAACCCTCCACACAATCTAGTACTTCACCGAACGCTTACCACCGACGTACATGCAATTTCACTTAAATATGTAGCAGTAGACAGGAATGCATCTTTTGAATACATAATGTTAGGAATGCACTTTACACTGCATCGAACTGGGCCGCCAAACGAGTACGACCTGTCAACGAAAGGAATTTTTAACGAAATCATTTCTAAAATCAGTTGAAATGAAAATATTGATATAAACTTACGTCTATTATCTTGAGTTAACAAAGCCGTCGGAGTCGGCAAGGCGCTGGCCGGTGGTGAACACCAAATGTTGTTCCTAGGAGACTCGAAGACACGGGATCCCTGAGAAATATTGAAACATTGTAATTAATTTCTTTGAATACCGTTTGAAATAAAATGAGACCGACCGATATTTCTTAAAACATAACATAAACACTCACGCCTGTCACCCAGAGGGGTAGGCAGAGAATACGGACTTCCATTTGGCACGATCCTGACACACCTCTTTCGCCGTTTACACATACATATCTACGCATACCTGCTCGTTGGTTAAGGGTACTTACTTCTAACGTGGCCCCTTTTAAAAGTATCGCCAATTTTGTCGATAAACTTTTTTCTAGGGCGTCCCTTCCCGACTCGGCCGTTCACATCTGCCATATAAATTTGCTTTGTCACTCTTTCCTCATTCATTCTTTCTACATGACCAAACCACCGAAGCATTCCTTTCTTAATCCTGGTCACAACATCATCTTGCATACCACATTTATCTCTTATCACGCAATTTTCACCCTGTCATTCAGATTCAACCCTAGCATATTCCTTAAAGACCGCATTTCTACAGCATTTATTCTACTTTCTATATCTTGTGATATTTCTTAACACAACATTTTGAAATTGGTGAATAAACCAAAACTGCTAACTTAGCGGTCAGCCGCCGTAGAGTCTACACCTCCTGAAGATGCCTCGTGTAGAGGCGAAACACGTGTCGTACACGTTGACAATAGTCAATGGTGTGTCTTTCCTGGAATAATAGTGTTGGAAGTAGTGGTGCCGGGAGTAGTGGTGCTTGGTCTAGTGGTCACGGAATTAGTGCACGCAATTGAGGGAGGGCGGGAGGTGCTCTTAAATCCAGGTAAGACACATCATTTTATTTAATTGAGCAGATGGTTGCGAATTAGATATTAATCTTTATTATAATGGATTTCCGCAAAGTAACGCCACAAAAACGAACTCTAAAAATTAACATGTAATGCTACCAACAATGAAAAAAAAACAGATACATTCAATATATTTTTCGTGACATCCAGACTACCAAAGGTCTGTTTATAAAATTTCGCGCGCTCCTTTTTGTTATAAATCATCTTGCCTTTCGCTACAAATTGTTTCCCGATCATTGGGACGGACGGAGGGGGGGGGGGGAGGCGCAGCGCGCACCCACACATGCTCACTAGGTTAGCCGCTGCTATCTATTTATGGTTGTAATACCTACATATCTACATCTTTATTTAGAAAAATTGCTTCCTTTTGTTCGTGTCCATTGCTGAAGCCGGGATGATTATAGCTGGTAAAATGTGCCCATAAGTTTGTTGACGCACATTTAGTTAAAATTGAAAACAGGTAGGTACATAATAATGAACTTTCGATACAGGTAGTACATTAGGTAGGTACTTAACTACTTTAATTTGCTAACTAACGAAAATATCTCATAGATAAGCACGATTATCGAAAATCTTAAAATTGTCTATTAATTTAATTAGAATAGGTAATTTTTAGATTTTCGATAATCGTGCTTACGTATAGGAATCTCATATCCTAATATACCTAATGTTATTTATGTAAGTACATAATAATCTAAGAAGGGCAGTCAATGATAAATAAAATGTGTTTTGTAAGTTGTTTTTTTTTAAAAACACTAACACAACAAAAACATGAAACTGAGAAGAAGCACCCGATCTGCCGAAACAAATTCAGAGAGGTCAGTCCAGGTATTACATTGGTCATATCATACGAGAACCAGGCTAATATGGTCCTTTGAAGAAAGAATCATACAGATGTGAGTGGACAACTTAGTACTTTTTTGGATTCCATACCCGAAGGGTAACCAGCAGGGCCCTATTACGGAGCCTCCGCTGTCCGTGTGTCTGTCTGTCAGCGGGCTGCATCTCATGATCCGTAACAGGTAGATGGTTGTAATTTTCACGGAACGTGTATTTCTGTTGCCGCTATAACAGCAAGTGGTAAAAATAAATTTGAAATTAAAGGATTTTCTACTAGAAAAAGAAACGTGTATTTTTGGCTTTTTTGATCGATAGTAATATGTATAGGTATTTAAATCTTGTAATCTCGGAAGCTCGGAAGTCCGATTCGCACTTGGCAAAATATTTGTTTATATTTAATCTTACCTCAGACATACTCATATTTTTTATATATAATTTACTATACTACTATATAAGCTACTACTAAATAAAATAGTAGTAGCTTTGCTATGGTATTATAGTATATTTTGGATTAGATTTAATTTATTACAGAATAATACGAACTATATAAAAACTAAAGAGCGCATCAATCTACCTCAGATATTGGGTTATGAATACAGATAAGTACACATAGGATTTAGTTTCTAATTTGTACATATTTTATAGCCTTTGTTATCAATAGCATAAACAGGCCAAGCCCCCTAGCCTACAAACGTTTCGTAACGAATCTCTTTCTACAATCGCGCCTTTTATTTGTTTGGACTGACCACCTGACTCATTCAGTGATGCCATTCCCATACAGTGTTTAGTTTTCAACTAGCGTTATCTATTAAAAAATAAATCAAAATTTTATTCATATTTCGCTAATTGTGTCTGTACTGTGAATTTGATTTCCAATCGATCCCTAAATTGTAGTTTTCTTCTAATTACTTACCCTGCCTAGACGTGTTCTTTGGACTTCTGTAAGGAAGTCTGTGCTGTTAGTATTCCGTTTATATACGTTACTATTTTGATAGACGTTTGTGCTTGTCCCTGCAGTGATACAATGCCTATTGTTGATAACTTTCTAAGTACTAAGAGAATATTTCAAACCGCTATTGAACACAAACAATCAATAAACAATTTACAAACTAACATTTTTTATTTATTTAATTAACCTACATAAAATCCCCACTCACATCAGTCGCGCTGTCGAAAAAGCAGTTATCCTGACACTGGCTGACATATACTTCGGGGAGTTGTCTGTGGGCTATTATAGCTAACTAGCTATGGAAAGTAAATACCTATTTAGAATACAAAGTACCTACAGTAATATTTGCATAACCTACAGTAAAATACAAAAACATAAAGAAAACATAATTATGTTACACTTTTTTGTGTTTGTTTTAGAAATTGTTATATTTTTTTCAAAAAAAGTTTTTTATGTTACCGTTACCGTTTAGTTGAGAGTTATGTCCCTTTAGTGGGTACAGGCGTGATATTATATTGTGTAAAGAATGCTTAGATAGGCGATAGCAGCAATCGCAGTTGATTTGCTGTCATTTATTGAAGAGTGCCCCCGATTTCTCCAAGATCCCATCATCAGATCCTGATCTGACCATCATCAATTACCGTGGGATAATCTGGAAAATATATCCTTTCAAACAAAAAAATAATTTTCCAAATCGGTTCAGGCTTCAGGCTTCTTCGAGAAATCCGGTGACAGAACATACATAAACAAAAACCAACGAATTGAAAACCACCTCCTTTTTTCGAAGTCGGTTAAAAAGTAGGCAAAAACAAATCAATGGAATTATTATATAATAACAACATCTACTTAAGTTCACATAAGAACTTTCATAATAACAACTAAGTACATAAATTGGGTTCATAATAATTAAGTTTCACACAGCAGATCCTAAGTTATAATAACACCAATTTGTTTTGAAATAATACTAGTTTTTACGGAATTTATCACAGGACCAGTCCTGCCCGTGACCATGAGTGCTGTAAAGCGTTCGAAACGTCGGGTAATTAAAAAGTTAAATACACGCGATAAATTCCGTAAAAACTAGTATTATTTCAATGTGTAATGTTCGCGTAAATATAAGAAATCACCAATTTGTTTTCTCTCTCCTTTCTCTTTTTTAAATACGTTACCCCCACAGTAGGATTTTCTCCTGTATCGTGGAGGCAGTTTACAAACATAAATTGCACAAGGATAAATCCAGGCCCGGAACAACTATTTGTAGGCCATACAAATATTTGTTCCGTGCGGGATTTGAACCCGCGGCGCCCAGCGCAGCCTCATTGCTAAGCCACTGCGATACGGAGCTCAAATTGCCGTTTGATTTTATGTTATTATTCAAAAATAAATCGCATAGGTAGGTACGCGATGACGCCATATCGCACTGCGTTACTCGAGTGCGTATGTGTGTACGCACTAGCTTCTTACGGCTCATCACAGCGTCTATCCCTTTCGCACGTGATGTCGGCTGAGATAGCATGCATTTATACCCCGCCCACCACTTAGTTCGTGCCATCGACTAGGGCAACCGTAAATAAAGAAAACCTGCAGAACTATAATGATGCTCTTTGTGCAAGTTGATTAATTGTCGAAAAACCACTTTATTCTTAGTTTTTTGCAATCATTTCGAAAACTATGTGCGATCTAGAAAGTTCTTGAAAGTCTATTAATGTCACATAAAAAACGTTTATCACTTTTGTATTTAAATGGCGTTGAAGTAAAAAAAATTATGTTACAAACCGATTTTGCATGGAAACTTTAAACAGATAGTAGATAAAGAGTGTGATGGACCGTTTTGTATAAAATTGCAAACCGAAAACATTTTTATTCAAACCTTGTTTTCTTTATCTTATATGTATACAGTGTAAACTATATGTAACATCATTAAACTTAACGACAAACTCCGTAAAGCGTCGAAATTACTCGGCTTTGGTTGGTTTAAGCTTGTCTTCCATACCACACTCATACTCATATATACACTCAATATAGAATTACACCCACTCTCAATATAGACAACAATTAAATAATAAAAAGTACTTTTTAAGTCGCAAAAATGAGTAAAAAAACTGCATAGCTGTGTATGATATTTTGTTTACTTGTCGCTTTATCCTGGCCCGCAATAAACTCAACTGTCCGCATCATACATATCAAACTCTCTAAGAAATCCATTGTTTTGTTTACAAATTGGGATTGCTTGCACATGTAGACTGCTGTTTGTAGGAGTCATGGATTATCAGATTATGCTCACAGACTTTCAAACTATAAATATGGCAAGTTCTAATACAGATTGTTCTTTGTTCTATTTAACAACAACTCTCTATAACGTCAAAATATGCACATTCCCTTGAGTGTCGTTATATAGAGTATAGACTGTAGTTAAAATATATGCATATAAAGTATCTTACATAATTTCTAGCATTGCTATCTATCTATTCCTTAAGTTTCACTACAATTAGTCCAGCCATTCTGCAGATTAGCTCGGACATACATACAAAGTTTAAAGAATGATTACTTATGTCTTACTGCCATGCAGATAACCCGCTCAGCGTTCATTAAAAGACAGTAATTAACGAAGACAGCTTTTATTTGCATGATATTAAGATAATAAACTATTTTTAAATGTCTTATCTTTGTCTGTTCCGCTAATCTTCGAAATAGTAAAACCAATCGTGTTGAAACTTTACAAACAGATAGACAGCAAGCCAGGTGGGATCTAAGCTGTATTTTATCCAAAAAGCTTAAAAATCATGGGCGGCGGTAGTCACTTAACATCAGGTGAGCCGCATGCTCGTTTGCCTTCCCTTCTATATAAAAAAAAGATATTTTTTTGGAAAAATAAACGAAGTTGATTAAAAAAATGGTTTTTGATTATCTTAAATAACCTTACGTTAATAAATCCTGTCAGACGATGCCAGTTGATAAAAAAATTAAAACAAATACACTAAAGATGTAAGTCAAATGTATATTGGTCTGGTTTCAAAAAGAATGAGTAAAAGTAGAGATTTTTAATAACTTTAGGAAAGTTATATATTATGAAAAGTGATCAAACATACCTTTTGACCAGGTGGTGTATCATGCACAGAGTAGTCTTCATGCAGAGGTGCCCGTAGGGAGGGAGGTACAATAACGCCGCCACACAATGTCCATTTGGAACCTTCCATTCCGTTACCGTTTACTTCGGTAAACAAGGCGCGGTAACAGCGCAACAAATCTGACACACTCTCCGCACCTGAAAAAAGAAAGTAAACTTTAGGAACCCAGTATACGAAAATGAATTTTCGTCAATAAAAGAATATTCATTTGATATTTAACAATCGCAGTACCAGATGTGTTACACCTTTGCTCCAGCTCCATTTCACAGGTTTGAACCATTTACGTAGTATATACAAGATGGTCATTTTTTATAGAAGAATAGAGCATGTAGCTTACCTAATGATAAGTGATGGGTACCTTTAAAAAATCGGTAAGACCAGAGAAATCACAGCTGCATGGTTGGCCTTAGAAAAAGGAGAGAGATAAAAGTCAAAGACCTTTTAGGCTTTTATCTCGGGGATCCATAAGTCATATGAATCATAAAATTAGCTGATGATAGCAATTCCATTAGAGACGTGCGAATTAGTAAAGTTTCGGAAAATCATACAGTGGTGGATCTTTAAGTATTCAGATGTTGTGGATGGCAATATGAATTATGTTGAAATACGCGATGGTTAATTTACGCTGGAATTGATCCCATGGTAAATGAGAATGTACTGAATTCTAGGCATTTCCCTTAGTTGAATCTCACAACATCCATAGCTGTTTAATACTGAAAGATTATTGCAGAAATTAATCGTTAATAATTATTTTAAAAGAAATTAAAATATTGGGAGCCTTACCCTTATCAGCGCAAGCAAATGACGGGTCAAAGCGTCTTGTATACTGGTTAAATATTTCCACAGCAGGCATCGCTGCGGTGTGATCGGCTAGGATCTGTGCCAATCGCCACACAGTGCGCCAAACTGGCGTCAATCTCACATGACGTTCCAATCTCTCCACTACACCAGAGGCAACCAGTTCCCCAAGATCCGGATCCTCGCCGCGGAGACGTCTGAACGCGCTAACGAAGTACTCCTCAGTAGAGCCACGGGCTACACTCCTGTCAGCGGAGAGGACCGAGCAAGCGGCTAAGGCCGCGTTCGCAAAGCGCGGCGCGTCGCCCGCCATGTGCACCACTCCGCCTTCGATACACCCGCCAGCGACTGAAATTAGTTCCTCCAGCGTGCTCACGTTGAGGACGTCGGGTAGGGGCGGTGCGCCGAATCTCGTAGCGTAAAGCGCTGGCAGCATTTTGAATGGAGCCGGCGTCAGAGCTTTCAGTCTTTGCGCCATAGCGGCACGGGCCGCTTGGGCGGCCAAACGAACGCCGCGTTCACCGTTTGCTTCGCACCACACTGACACTGTTTCTGGGATCAATTCGAATAGTTCCACAAGTTTAACACAACCGTAATGCGCGACGCGCAATTGGCGGCCGAAGTGTGCGTGATATGCAGGCACGAAGCGCGAAAACTCCATTCGAAGGTTGGGCGTGTAACAGAGTAATTCCACAGCTTGTACTGCGAACTGGGCAGTTCGGGCTCTTTCTTCGGGGGTCGGCGTTCGGCGTGGTAACGCAATGGTGTTGTCGGGAGACATTACGACGGTTTGCGGAGTAACTCGTTGCATTAACTCGTCGAGTGTACATAGACCATAGTCTACCGGTGAGAAGGGGCGTCCGAACGTAGCTTGGTACAGTTGTGGTATATCGTGTGGAGAGATGGCTCGGCCAGGTTGCGCTTTTAGGAGTTTCACGAGGTCGGACGTCCAGCGTCGACTCTGAGCTGCAGCGGATATAGTTATAACGCGATACGATCCTGAGCCGAGCACCTGAAAACGTTTAAAAATGTAATAGATAAAATCTGTACAATAATAGCTCCAATATGATATACAAGTGTACCTTTGATGTATTAAAAATGAGGCTCGAGTGAACCAATAAGAAAATTTAAATTTTAAATAATAATTTGAAATTAAATTTATATCAAAACTTATAAATCTTTTATTCATCACATTAACAAATTATACTTACCACGATTGTGTTACTTAGAGCGGCAAGCAAATCAGGGAGCTTAGTGAATCCATAATCAGCGACGCGGCACTGTCGACCGAAGTGATGATGGAAAGATGGAATCAACCTAAAATTTACAATTGTTATGTAATACAGAATTAATAGGATTGTCGTAATCTTGTGCATGTGGTCGCGCGGGTGTGTGCCCGATTTGATTTGTAATTTCTCAACCCTTTTTCTTTTATAAGAGGTAGAGCCACGCTGCAGCTGTACTGTGGTTGTAGCATGAATGGGTCGGCTCGACCGGGGAAGGATCACGCTTTTACAGAATACCAGAGTAAAATAGCAGCTTAATACTGCTGTGTTTCGTACGGTGAGTGTAGAGAACCAGAGACCCTTTTTGCTGGAAACGAGACATTTCATCTTAACCATGTCAAGGCTGGCAACGCATTTGCATTTTAATTCTTAATCGAGGATAAATGTAGATGTTTATGGGCCACAGCATTCACTTATCATCAGGTAGACTGTGTGCTTGTTTGTCACCCACATCCTATATTTTTAAAAACCAGATGGTAAATAACTAGTACCAGACTACAAAAGTATTGTCACCTTTGAAGACAACTTCACAGCCTGTAACTATACTGGCTTGCTATAATCTTCAGTACAGAACATAACAATGCAAGCACTGCTACTTTTTGGCGCCAGAAACACTGGTGATTGTAGTTTAATAACCCATAGTAAGATTTATTGTAATAAAATAATAGCTTAAATTAATTATTAAAAATTTAAATAAAACCCCCTAAACAAAGAGCTGATGATCTTCAAACGGCTGAAAAGATTTTGTTGAACCATAGCTAAGAACACCCTTGATCAAGTCACCTTTCAAACATATCTTTTTTGTTGAGTGTTAAGCATTTTGCTTTTATTTAGACTATTTATTGAAAGATTTCTTTACGTGGTAGAGCCATGCTGCAGTTATATTAGTAGTATAGTTATAGCACGAATGGGTCGGCTCGACCGGGGAAGGAGCCCGCTCTCACAGAATACCAGCGTCAAATAGTAGCTTAATGCTGCTGTGTTTCATATGGTGAATGTAGAGAACCGGAGATCCTTTTTACTGGAAACAAGGCATTCCATCTCAGTCCTCAGGGGTGACAACGCAATCGAGGATAGATGTAGATGTCTATGGGCCACAGCAACCACTTACCATCGGGTGGACAGTGTCCTCGTTTGTCATCATATCCTATAAAAAAAGATAATTTTGAGTCAGTATTCTATGTACATGATTAATGTACATTTTCAAATTTATCTGATCACATAATATATCTCAGAAGAAACACCAGCTCAACTAGATAAGCGTGTGATTATTAAAGCAGCTCACTTGCTAAACGGTATGCAGCATCGCGGCGCAGTTCGCAGCAAATCTATGAGCTCTCGTTCGAACAGCGCCAACATTGGTTCCAGCGCAGGAGCCGTTCGAGGTTTTTCGCGTTCGCCACTCGAGCGGGATGTATCACCTGCACATAATGTTAAAATTAGAAATAGAATTCGCTTATAGGCTCAGTTCAAATTCAGCAATGTAGATTGTGTGTGTTTCTTTTGTATTTAATTTTTTTTCATGTGCACTAAATTTGTTTGCTGAATGTCTGATAGCAACAAAGAAATTTTTATTTTAGAAATTACCTAGTTTTTGAAATAATTTATTAATGAATAAAAAAATGCAGCAGACACAGAGAAAGTCATTATCAGACCAGAGACCAGAAAAATATGTTTGTACGCCACATGGACATCCTCCTCTATGCTTTGACAATCCCTTTGACTATGTCACATTGATTGTCAGTATATCGAAGTGCTAAGTGTTTGTACATATTAAGGCTGATGGATGGATGATGGATCTGACACTAGAACTAGAGTATAAAACCGACCCAACAGCAGAGGTGTTGGATTGGCTAGGCTGGTCCAAATTTGACCCAGAGATGATTACGCTACATCTTGTCACATGTACCTTAAAAACTTTAAAGTAATTATGTACAATTCTGTGAGTGTGATGAAATATTGAACAGAGCCCTGCTGGCCATACGATGATGCTTAAAATTGCTCAGCAAGTTATGGAAAGGGCTTTGATCGGAGGTTCTCCGCGTGATAGAATTCGTAACAATGAATTCCGCAGTAGATCCAGAGTAAATGACAGCACATCAGGTTTGTAAACGAAGTGGCAATGGGTCAGCTATAAAATAGCTCGACAACAGATGGGGAAGGAAGACTTGTAATAATGTCCTCCAAACCGAATTCGGGTCACGACGGCAAGTCCTAACGGTGACTAGTCATCTGTGCAGGACAGGATTTACCCAGGTGTATGCGCAAGCACAGCTGCACTACCTATTCCCATACTCTCACAGTCCAATGGGACGGTAATTTGATACGACCGGATAGAGATCAGGCGCAGGAACAACGGCTGTAAGTGCTTTCCGAGGCACGGGGGTGAAACAGCGCCAATTTCCTAACTCCAGGCTGCTCGCTACTGAGAGTTTCTATACATAAACCTAAGAAATGAAATGGATCCGACCCGGGATTCCAACCCGGGACCTCACAATCAGCAATTTCGTTTACTAGACCAACGAGGAGCTAAGCATAGTGTGTAATTTACAACTCCGAAGGATCGGAGGATTTTGACACCAAAGTAGTCAGGAAGCTATAAAATAATGATGATGTTGTATTGGGGCTTATAAGTGGATATCTATAACAAATATGTTTAATTGAAGTCCATTTTTTAATTTTACATTTGGTTTATCGCCAGAGCTCTATTTGTTTATTAGTATGATGCCCAGCATCTGTACTGCATGCAATAAATAAAATACATGTTACATAAAAAATAAATATTTACCAGAAAAACTTGACTGGGAAATGTGATTAGGTTTTAAAACAAAGTTCAATTTTTCTAGTCACATCCGATACAAGCATTACTAGCCGACGTACTCATGCATAATAAAATAAATGTTACAAAAAAATAAATATTTACCAGGAAAACTTTACTGGGAACTGTGATTAGTTTTAAAGCAAAGTTCAATTTTTCTAGTCACATCCGATACAAGCATTACCATCATTGGACATAATGTGAATGGTTTTATACATTGAAGGACTTACTTTGATTACAATTGGACGGGGGCGTATCGGATCGGTTAGTGCGCCAGGCGAGGTGCCTGGATGGGCTGTCTCTGACTTCCATATTAGGAACGCTTCGCAATAGCAGTTCTAAGGCCACGCCACGTCGTGGGTCCGCCACCAGCGGTGGGAACATAGCTTCATAGCACTCCACAAAACTAAACACAAAATGAAATTTATTATATAAGCGTAATACTGTTATGTATTGTAATTAGTGATAATATTGTTACGAGCTTAAGGTTCCTGGCAATTAAAACTGCCGATTAAATCACCAAAGTTGCCACTTTAACTACCGAACACCAATTAAAACTAATACACACTAATAATTAATCACACTTAACACTTTAATTCACTTTATTTCGCTCCTAAGTCTTCACATGTATCGTCGATTAATTACTGCCCAGGTCGCGGCCTAAACGGCTTTATATAGGCCTTTTCCAACAAACCATCTAGAATCTTCCAGCAAATACCGGTCACGACCGACTAGATGTAGAGAATTCGAGTGTGGAGTTTTTCTAGAAAGCTTATTTCTTCTATTCGATACTAGATGGCGCTAGTGGGATTACCAGGCACCAACTGTGGCGCGCAACAATAGGTTAAATGTACATAATTATTACTTAGAATTCTGAAAATGTATTCGATGAAAAGTGTATATTTTCTTATATTAGTTAAAAAAAAAAAAATCATTTAACAAAATCCCACAAAAACACACTCCCTTTTAAAAAAAAAATAAATTAATTAATTATTATTTTTAATTTACTAAAAAAAAAAAAAAATTTTTACTTTTTTTTCTTCCCCCCTTCCTTTTTTTTTTTTTTTTTTTTTAAATATTTTTTTTTTTTTATACTTTTTGTAGTTATTAGGCTTTAATGATATTCAATACAGTATATTTAAAGAACTATTGAGAGAATCCGGCTCGAAGGACAAAACAATGTTCATGAATTGTAAACACTAAATACAGCAAAAAAATATACGCAGTTGCTGAAAAATGTTGTAAAGTCAATTAAAATCAATATCTCACCTTAACAACGGCAAAATACCGCCGTGATTTTCGAGCAGCACCTGCGCGTTCCTCGCTAGGAGCGATATCTCCATGAAAACCGGCTGCAATATTCGGCTTCCGTCCTCGTGTCCGGTGTTTATGGTGGCGTGCAATTGACACTTCCAGGGCGCCTCCTCCATTTCCACGGACGTGACGGGCGTGAGGTCGACCAACTGCACCATACGCCCGCAGCCCTCGTGCACCACGACAGTGTCCCTGACTTTTGCAATGTCGGACGTGGTGAGCGCGCAGCAGTGGCGGCTCGCGTACGCATCGCGCAGGCGCAGCAGCGGCAGCGCGTGGCCGGGCTGCTCAAGCAGGATGGCACGCAGGCGCGCGCGCAGCACGTCGGCACCGGGCGCGGGCGCCGGCCGGCCCAGCGCCAGCTCCAGGCGGCGGCCAGCCCACTGCTGCTCCAGGCGCCGCTTGTGCACGCGCGCGATAGCCAGGCGCGCGTCCCACTCGGAGCGTAGCAGCACGCTCGCCAGCGGGCCCTCTCCACCCGTCCACACGCTCACGCGCACCACTGCCACATACTGCTTGAACAGTTTCGTCAGCAGCTCCTGTTAACAAATTATTTTATATAAAGAAGGCTATAACATCATTCCAGACCGAACTTCAGTTACGGTGACCAGTCTCTAAGGAAACTAACCATTTACATAGAACAAAATTATAATCTAATAACGGCTAGTAACGCAAGCAATTATCAATAAAATCATCATCATCATCATTACAACCCTTCACAGCTGAACATAAGCCTCCCTCAAGGAATGCCACAAAGCATGGTCATAATTATTAATACTACAATTTAACAGAAACATAACATGTACTAGGCTGCACTAAAAGTATCGGGAATGGAATATTTCCACTGTTCCTGTCATATGAAAATCTTTTTAATTGAAAACTCCTTGGTTTTAAAGATCGAATACCATTTATTTATTTAAAAAAAAGATTCTCGGTCTTGTCACAAGGTTTTGTCAAACTTGTTTAGTCGTTGAGAAAATGGAATTGACTCGAGAAAATTCAAGAGCTATGATTTATTATGACTTTCGAAGTGGTTTAACACAAAAACAGTGTGTTGACCAGATGATTTCTGCGTTTGGTGATGAAGCCCCATCCAAAACCACAATTTATCGCTGGTTTGCAGAATTTCAACGTGGACGTGTCAAGCTCAGTGATGATCCCCGTCAAGGCCGTCCAAAAACTGCAGTCACCCAAGAAAACGTTGATACTGTGCGTAAGCTGATTGAGGAAGATCTACATGTGACATACCGCGAAATTCAGGCAACTTTAGACATTGGCATGAGTCAAATACAAATAATCTTGCATGAACAATTAGGTGTAAAAAAGTTGTTATCCCGATGGATACCGCATTCGCTCTGTGAAGAGCAAAAAAGCGGCTCGCGTTACTTGGTGCGTCAGAACTCTCGAAAAATTCCACGCAGGATCCTCAAATGCTGTATACAACATCGTATCAGGTGAAGAATCCTGGATATACGCGTACGAACCCGAAACAAAAAACCAGTCACGAGTTTGGGTGTTCGAAAATGAGTTAAAGCCAACAAAAATTGTTCGTTCACGGAGTGTTGCAAAAAAAATGGTGGCCACGTTTGTCTCTCCAAAACCGGCCATGTTACAACTATTCCTCTTGAGGGACAAAGAACCGTTAATGCAGAGTTGTATGCTAGCATTTGTTTGCCACAGGTCGTTTCTGAACTCCGTAAAGAGAACTGCAACCGCCGCATCATCCTCCATCACGACAATGCGAGTTCTTACGCCGCACACAAAACAAAAGAGTTTTTAGAGCAAGAAAATATAGAATTATTAGACCATCCGCCGTACAACGTAACCTAAGTCTTAATGATTTCTATACTTTCCCTAAAATAAAGAATAAATTGCTTGCACAGAGATTTTCATCATCTGAAAAAGCTGTGGACGGCTACAAAAAGGCCATTTTGGAGACCCCAACTTCCGAATGGAACGGTTGCTTCAATGATTGGTTCCATCGTATGGAAAATGTGTCAAATTTCGCGGAGAATACTACGAAAAGCAATAAATACATTTTTAAATAGTAATGTTGTGTCACTTCCTTGATTCCCGAAATTTTCAGTGCCGCCCTCGTAACCAGCTAGTTCTTTAAAAGTATTTTGGTTTACGAATCTCTACATTGACAACTAATTCCTATTAAAACAACTATCTATTCAATTATCAACTTTTAACTCAAATATTGTTTTAAATCGTAGAAATAAATAATTGTCGATTTGATTATTAATCCTGGTAATAGAAATTACTTAAGTAACCAAATGGTTTCAATAAAAAGTTATTGTTTAGTGAAATATTGACCAATCAAATCGTCGACCAATCAGAGCAACACCAACTCGTTATTACGTTTTCCTTATTGTATGAACGCTGGAATAGACTCACTTCAGTTCTTGCGCTCGTCGGTGTAGTTCTATTTTGCCGATAAAGCTTTGCGATTATTATTTGTGAGTTTTTATAAAAAGAAGTGTAGAATAAGGTTATTGTGGCATAAAATTAAAAGTGTGTGATCTTAGATCTCTTTCATTATAATGGACACAATATACGGTGGCACGACTGAACCCTTGTCAAATGAGGACAGTGGTGCTGCCTCACCTAAAAACAACCCCGAGGTTTCCGCTCCGACAAGTATGAATGTAAATAAAAGCTATTTTTTAATCGATGCACAGCTGGTGCATTTATTAAATACAAAATAGTGACAATAAGAGTACATTTCGAGAGATTAAGTTAATTCTTAAAGGCGGTAACGCATAAGCGTTTTGATTCTTAACTGGAGATATATGTTAGTTTTTATGAGGCATTAGCATTCAGATTTTGACCAGGCATCCACTCTTGATAGGCTGTAATAAATTTTGTGTTTATCAAAAATCAAAACATTGCATGACAACAAATTCGACAGTGCGTTTAAGTGTGAGTGCGATAGAAATATATAGTAAGTATGTACCTGTAAGATACCTGCTGGCCGTATGAGGACGCTCAGTCGCTCAGCGAGCTATGGAGAGGGCTATGCTCGGAGTTTCTCTGCGTGATCAACTTAGAAATGAGGATATCCGCAGTAGAACCAGAATGGGCCGGCCATATAGCTCGAAGAACCGACAACCGTTGGGGGAAAAAAGGTTCTCGAGGTGGCAGCCTCGTACCGGTAGGCGAAGTGTAGGGCGACCCCCCACTAGATGGAGTGACGACCTGGTAAGACATGCAGGAAGTCGATGAATGCAGGTGGCTCAGGACCGTGCTTTGTGGCATACCTTGGGGGAGGCCTATGTTCAGCAGTGGACTTGTGAAGGGCTGTAATGATGATGAATGATTATGTACCTGTAAGACGGCGGGCTCGTACGGCGGCAGGTTGGACACGGTGAGCTCGGCGGCGGGCTCGAGCTCGGCGTCGCTGTGCTCGCTGAAGCTGGCGGACGAGTTCCACGGCGAGCCCGCGCGGCTCTGGCCGTCGCGCTGCCGGCTGTCGTCGCCGCTGTTGCTCGACGACCAGCCCGACCTGTCTAAGCTCGCTGACCCTGTAAACATGCCGTCAATATTTCTCATAACATTTCCTGTATGCATATCTATTTGAAAATATTTTAATGTATACACACAGGGTCATTTTTAATTTTCTAAAGACCTTTTGGAAATACATTATTTACATCATAACAATAACATCTGTAAGAAAAAAATATATATTTCTTCATTTTTTATTTTCATACAAAAATATTTTAATTGGACCTTCTAAATGGCAATAGTGCTAGTATTAGCAAAAGTAAGCGCGTGGCGGGGTAGGGGTGGAGGGGTGTAGGAGGCGACGCTTACTCATTTAAACATGATCTAGGGTATATTCCAAAACGTCTTCAGTATACTGCCGAATACAAATGACGTCATCAATTGACATTATATTGCACTGGCGTGCAACCGCCATATTGCGTCACGATATCCGGCCATAATAAAACAATTTTTAATTGTGTATGCGCTGAATGAAGCATGCCAGAATTTGTTTTTATTTATTCAAATACAAAAAATTATAGAATAATTGTTGGAGATACCATTAGGAGGATATAATGATTTTTGGAGCACAAAATGACAAAATAATCGTCAAAATTTTTCCAATATGGCGCAAATGTATGACGTCATATACTGTCATATGTTTTGGAACGAATCACCAATATTGGGTATGTTCCGAAATACAACGAAGTGTACTGTCCAATGCAAATGACGTCATCATTTGACACTTTATTGTACTACGTAGACAAAGAAACCTATAGACCAATGATCGGCGTGGCCTCGACTGAGAAAGGACGATAACGAATTTTTAGGTTATACAATAATCTTTATGACTTTTAAACACATTTAGATAAAAAATTTAATTGTTCTAAGAACTGAACTGAACAAGATTCACCAATCTTAGGCTCACAAAACACTTTTTTCTCACTTAAACCAACTTGTAAACTCCTTAAATCGCTACGCTTTAAAAGTTGTTTAGCAAACTTTACAGTTTGCTAAAAAAAAACCGGCACGGTGAAAGGGACAAACAATCACACCGCTCTATTTCATTTCTATGCAAGACGTATGCATAAATCTATCTTTTTCGTGTGTGAATGCGAAAGAACGTCAATTTGTCTATAGGTTTCTCTGTCTACGTTGTACTAGCGTGCCGCCGCCATATTGTGTCGGATATCCGGCCATAATAAAACAATTTTTAATTGTGTGTTTGCCGAATGAAGCATGCCAGAATTTGTTTCTATTTATTCAAATACAAATAAATATAGAATAATTGATAGTAAATCCATTAGGAGGATATAATGATTTTTAGAGCACAAAATGACAAAATAATCGCCAACACTTTTCCTAATGGCGCAAACGTATGACGTCATATACTGTCCAATGTTTTGGAACGAATCACCAGGATAGCGACAATTCATGACGTCATTTGCATTGGACAGACACGGGTTCTATTTTGGAACATACTCCTAATGATCTGTGTCGTCAGTCGCCTTTGATGCTCCTGTGAAGCTTCTTCCGTTGTGAGATTAATATTGCGAACGTTATCTTGTTATGATGGCTTATCGACACTCTAATGTTGAGTATACTGAAATGTAAGGTCATTTAAAGTAGCGCCCTGGTGCAATAGGTACAGTGGTGAATGCTTTAGTGAGCACTCGCGACGCAATACTCGCAGAAATCATACTTTATAATTATAGCCAACCAAATCTACGAAATACATTTTGACAGCTGTCAGACTTATTGCACCAAGCATCATCATCATCATTACAGCCCTTCACAAGTCCACTGCTGAACATAGGCCCCCCCAAGGTATGCCACAAAGCACGGTCCTGAGCCACCTGCATCCATCGACTTCCTGCATGTCTTACCAGGTCGTCACTCCATCTAGTGGGGGGTCGCCCTACACTTCGCCTACCGGTACGAGGCTGCCACTTGAGAACCTTTTTTCCCCAACGGTTGTCGGTTCTTCGAGCTATATGGCCGGCCCATTCTGGTTCTACTGCGGATATCCTCATTTCTTGTTTATCACGCAGAGAAACTCCGAGCATAGCCCTCTCCATAGCTCGCTGAGCGACTTTGAGCCTCCTCATACGGCCAGCAGTGAAGGACCACGTCTCGGTTCCGTAGGTCATCACTGGCAACACGCACTGGTTGTACAACTTGCACCAAGCATGCTAACCAAAAAATTGGAACGTACAATATTCGATTCTTAAAAAAATCGATATCGATTATTTAGAGTTGGTAATCATTTACAGTTTGGTTTGAATAATACCAAAATAAATTAGAAATGGATAATGATTTATTATATTTACGCGAACACTACACATTGAAATAATACTAGTTTTTTCGGAATTTATCGCGTATATTTAACTTTTTAAATACCCGACGTTTCGAATGCTTTACAGCACTCATGGTCACGGGCGGGACTGAGATGTTCAACGTCCATATGTCATAGTTAACCGCGGTTACCATAGATTAAAATTTAACTTTTTTCCGATCTATACAGTATGAACTTATGGTATCTTGAAGTCTTGCAGTTGTATGCTTGGGTTGGGATTTAATTTTATTTATTATAGGATCCCAAGCAGATGGTAGCACCCAGCCATCTTCTCTATTGAAATTAGGATGTTTTTTGATTTCAATAGCCTCGCGAATCATCCTTGGAAGGAATCGGTGTTCTTTAGCGAAGATTTGCGGTCTATCAAATCTGATGTAGTGACGGGGGCGATCCTGTACGTGTTCACAGACTGCAGACTTCCCGGAAAGTTAAATATACGCGATAAATTCCGTAAAAACTAGTATTATTAGAAATGGATAATTTAAAACACAAGATTTATCAGTTTCTTCGTATTTGTTGTTACTGCTTATTTCTAATGGCAAAGTTATAAAAATTTAAGATTGAAACTAGATTAAAAATAAATTTATTCAATCACTTTCTTGAGCTGTCGCTGTTTAGGTTAATTATTATTGATTTTCAATAATGCAGTCAAAATTAATGTCTCTTTCAAAGTCATACATAATCATTTTTTTTTTGTTTTTTCAACCACTTTTGCCCAGTCATCCTTTGTGACATGAGCAAGTGCTTCAACGAATATAAATAAACAGACCAAAAAGTTAAAGCCGAGTCAGAAAATAAGACGATAAACACAAAATCAAAAAATTACGCACAGTCCCGAAATGGCGGGAGATTGAAATTACGTAGTCGTTTTTTATATGATGGGATGACAAACGAGCACACAGTCCACCTGATAGTAAGTGGTTGCTGTGGCCCATACACATCTACATCTATCCTCGATTACGAATCAAAAAGCAGATGCGTTGTGACCCGTGAGGACTTAGGTGGAATGCCTCGTTTCCAGCAAAAAGGGTCTATGGTTCTTTACACCCACCATACGAAATACAGCAGCATTAAGCTACTATTTTACGCTAGTATTCTGTGAAGGACCACGCCGGTCCTTCCCCGGTCGAGCCGAACCATTCGTGAAAAAGATTAGTGATTCGAAATATTTTACCGATTATTTTAATATTTTTGCAGATTATTCGCATATTCAATATATAAATAAATTTTAATTATTCAAACACTACGGTAAGGGATATAGCGACATATCATTGAAACGACGTCAAGTAAAAAAGTTGATACTATTTTTGTTTAATATTTTGATTTGTTTTAAAGATTCGAATTTAAATTAGTTGTAAAAAACTATACACGTTGTAATGATACAGATAACTTCATAATTCTTCGGATTTAAGTAAAAGGTTATTTTAAATCATGTGAGTACGCGTGTGCAAAGTTATTGCAGAATGATTAATGTGAAACCGCAAAAGGTATTTCTTAGATTTGGTTGACTATATCTATTATAAATTTTAATATGTGATTGTGATGATTTCAGCCACGATGTGTGATACTGATATCAAGAATAAAATAAAAAGGCATTTTTTGACGATTTATTCTGAAATTTTAGGTACTACAAAAAAGGAGTCGGACATGACAATAAAAACTTAAAAGTAGTTTTTTCGTAAATGTATTACATTCTGTAAAGAGTGCTCTCGCTAAAATTGTTTCTGATGAAACAACCACTGTATTCCCCAAAAGATCCTTAGTCAATTAAAAATGACCCTGCATAATTAAAAAAAAAAAACATGCAAGTATGAAGAAAAAACAAAATTGCAAAAATAACTACAGGGGAGTAAAAAAGTAAGAATTTGTGTGCGATGAAATCGCGGAGAGACAAGACTCACATCGCAACGCTTTCTCAGTCGGCAGTATGGGTTGGCAGCGTGGGGTCGTTAAAGGTCTTTATCCAAATTTTCTCTACATGACAATTATAAATGCTCAATGGGCGACGAGGAGTGTGAACGTTCAAGACCTCTGGTACTTATATCCGCGATAGTATATATATATATATATAACCAGATGTCTTATCCTCCCTACAAAGGGAAAGTCCTTATCTCCAGCAGTAGACCGTTTACAGTCCGACACCCATGGTCACGGGGGGGGGGGGCGAAACGTCGGGATAATAAAAATAAATTAAAATTGTAATAAAACACGATGAAGTCCGTTAATATTAGTTTTATTCAATGTTCTAGTGTTCGCGTAAATTTAAGAAATCATTCTACAAATTTATTAAGGGTTATTAATTTGAGAAGTTATTTTGTGTTTAACTAGCAAAATCATACCGTGGGTGCCCCTTATCTTCCGCGGCTTGGGCGCAGGAGGTGGGCAGAAGTCCAGAGGTGGCGGAGTGGGTGCGGGCAACTGCTGTAAAGCCAACGCCCAGTCGCTTGCAACACTTCTCGCAGTCGCTTCGGCACTTATCTCGACCTGAGGACAAACGAACAGTTTAAGATCTTAAAAGTTATTGTGAATATTTAGAGACGTCCTAGATGGTTAAATTGAAAACGCAGTAGTTTAGAGTATGAGGTCATTTGCAATCTTTTTTGATAAAACAATTTGTTTCTCATCTATCAAAATATTTCATTTGTAAATTGTTTTATAAAAGTATAAATGAATAAATTTAATACAATAATTTTGGGTAACATCAAAACACCTGAATTATTGATTAAAAATATTTAAGTTTCAATTTTCTTGTAAATGATGTATTAGAATTGATATTTAGTTTCGTAATCCCGAGTCTCTCTAAAAAAAAAAACTAGACCACAAGTCTCAGAGATTTTTTTTTATTATTTTAATTCAATATGCAGAGACTTTCGATATAATTGTCTGCTAAGAAAGTCATGTTTTTTATATACGAATTTACGTGATTAAATCTACACAATATGTTGTTATGTATAATTTATTGGTAGCTCAGAGGAGCCGTGGTAGCTCAGATGGTTAACGCTCGCTGTAAATATAACAGAACGTAAATGTGCGGCGGAATGAATTGTAAATTGCAATAATGCAGAACAGCGCGAGTAGAAGGAAAACATCGTGATGAAACCTGCATGTCTGAAGAATAAGAGAAAAAAATATTTCGAAGACATGTGAAGTTCGCCAACACGCATTGGGGCAGCGCGGCGGACACTTACTTGCCCTAAAATTCTCTCAGAAATGAGGGGAGGTCTGTGCCCAGCAATGGGACGTATATAGGCTGCAACTTGTATAATTTATTAACTATAATTGATTAAAACTACTTTTACAGATTTTATCGCGTTTAATTATAAATGATTTTTAATTTCCGACGTTTCGGTTGCTTTCCAGCACCCATGGTTACGGGGGGACTGAGGTGACTGACGTCCCGATGTCAACGTTAACTCGGAGTACCTTCAGCTTTTTATTTATTATAGTCCGATCTACGCAGAATGAACTTGCAGTGTCTTTAAGTCTTGCAGTGGTATGCTTGGATTTAGTTTTAATTTTATTAATAACAGGATCCCAAGCAGGTGGTAGTACCCAGCCTCCTTCTCTATTTAATTTTTTGATTTCAATAGCCTCACGTATCATCCTTGGTAGGGATCGATGTTCTTTCGCGAGGATTTGTGGTCTATCAAATCTGATGTAACCGGTTGGGGCCGCCTAGGATATGATTAATTGTAAATTAGGAACTGATCAACACTTACCTTTCTAATGTGAAACGAAGCTCCTCAAAAATACTCACTACGTATCGAAATATAGGAACCGCTTTCTAAATGAAACGCTCATAATAACATTACACAGATTTATTGTATTTAATAGGCACTGCATTAATATTTCTTTCAAGGGAAAGTAAATCACCTTGTGATTAAAGCGGAAGTGAATGGGCAAGGAAGTTATTATTGTTAAATAAATGCCGTGAGAGAGGAAGTGCAACTTAAAATTGAATTACAACATGTGTATATTGTATTTTAAATTTTAGTAGACGTCAAAAAAGGAGGGACTAAAAATCAGACAGTTTGATTGTTTTTTTATGTATGTGTTGCCCGATATTTTCGTCAATGGTTAACTGATTTTAATGAATCTTTTTCTTAAATAGATTTATACTTCAGGGATAGTCTAACATAAATATTGAGAAAAAATGTGCAACTAAGCGTGAAAAGTAGTAAATAATCTTAACATAAGCGACAGTAGCCTAATGGCAGGGCGCGGACCGCGAACTCAAAAAGGTCGTGGGTTCGAATCCGCCATTCGACTACCGGCGTGAACCACTCGTAACACAAGCAATTTAAGCGTACCACGAGTGGTTAAGGGGAATATTAGTAATGTATATAGCATTGTTAATATTCGTTAAAAAAATCTTATGGAACGTTTTTAGACGATACTTATTTTGAGCTTCTGATATTCTTTAGCAAAGGGTCAATAATAATTAACTAAAAAAATAAATATAAAAAATCAACTTAAAAGAACTAAAAGGAATAACATACTTATTTCACTTTTACATATTTCACACATTAAGCCCGGTTTTCATTCTTCTACACTGTCTTAACAATGACTTTACTATGTAATATTATTTTATTCTTATAAGTTCTCCGAAGTCGGCTTTTAGTATTACTAATGTGTAATGTCATTTATACTTTAACATCTTTTTATTATGATTTATGACCACAGAAATCGTAATAATAAGACAAAGAAGTCGCATAGACGCGTGACCTTGTCGCCGCTTATATGGGTTGACGAACATAATTCACCATTTTGTGATTTAATTGTGCGGGGAACATCGTACGTGAATTTTTGCTATTATAAATTTATTATGGTGCACTGCAGCATAATCAGTTGTAAAAACTCATTAAGGACGTGTAATTAAACTAATAAATGCATAACATTTCATCAGTAAGTTGATTATTTACTAATTATCATTATTTTAATTAATTTACATCTAGATGAATACTTTACTATGACATTTACCTTTGCAAACTCATTTATTACTTTTCGTATTGTACAATTACCATTGCTGCTTTTGTTCTACCGTAATACGCGATACACGCAACGTTGATAAACTCGCCAAGCAATGTAATGTGAAAGATTTGAAATCATTGTGCATTGCGTATGTTTATAATACAGTAAGATGTGGCGACATCGGTTTTGGAAGTAATCGAGCGGTAATTCATTTTGTCTTATTACGATTTCTGTATTGTCTTATTATTACTGATTTTAAGCAGATTCCTGTGTTAAGTTGTCACAAGTTGACCATTTTGCGTTTTGGCCAATCTAAATAAATAATAAATAAAAACATATGTAAATGCATATTTTGAAAACTCTATAAACCACAAATTTAGTTTTGCAAGTAAAAGTTTTCTACAAAAAATTTATTCAGTTCAATTCATAGGATTTAAATATGCCGCCATACGTTTAATTCTATGAAAACATTACCATATTGCACAATGCGATCCCCAGTCTACACATTTTTTGTATACAGTTGCCCATCTCTTGGTAGAGACTAGATAGTTACTTAGTATAATTGTTCTGTGGCCATAGCTCTGCGGACGACCAGATCGACTCTCTCTATTATCTTGATGTTAATGCTGTTAGTCTATGCGACTCTTACAGCTTCATCTTGTCACAGGTCTCGCGGCCTGCAAGGCCGCGAGCTAATTAAAAAGGGAAAGGCAATGAGGTGAAAATGATGATCAATGATTTATGATTTGATATTGTTATCAATCATCATGTCGCCTTTTAGGCGTTTTTTCTTTGAGCTATCTAACCGCAGTCCGAGGGGGGGTGTGCGGACCCCGTCTCTGACTGCTCAGCTCGTGTCGGTCGATGTTCTGGCGGTGAGAACCGTCCAGGAACAAAATATAATATGAAATACTTATCATAAAACACATAAAACAGTATTTTATACAAAAAATTTATCACGCAAGGAACGCGGGTGTACGGTGTGTACGCGGTGCAAGCTGAAACGCGTCGTGCCCGTCTGCGGGTGCGACGCGTCCCATTCGTTGTCCTATTTGTGTTTGTCCCATTTAGTGTGGGTGTAGTGCGACTTACGGGCAACCGCATGGCAGTGCAAAAAGAAATTACATAATTTTTTACTTGCGGGACAAAGGACGCGTAGGGCTTATGTTACCAACTATACACGGATTACTCTAGAAGCTTATTCAAATTTACGTACTTTTATTTGTAAAAATTGAAAAAATACGTTTAAGTTGCATTCAACCCTCAGAAACATCACCTGGGGTTCGTATCTAAGGGCCACGATTCAACAGTTAAATACGTCAACAGATGAACAATACGGGTCAAGCACCCGGAAATGAAAATGTCAATTAAAAGCACAGCTTGTCAGTTTTGTTGTTTACTGCAAATAATTTAATTACAGAATTCAAACTCGCACACTGTGATGTGATAGCCCTACACTACAGCCATTATAGGTTGATGAGAAGATGATTTCTGTAGCAAAATTACCATCACATTGAACGAGCAAGCCAAGCGTATTGTTTTATGCGTGAAAACACGGAGAAAATTAATTTTCCCAGAAGTAAGAAGATTGATTTTCGCCCTCTGTATTTCATGGAAATAGATTCAGCGATAAGCAAGAGGAATCAGGATTAACCGTGTTTCCGCCGTGCACGCTTTTAAATATTAATTTGACCTCTTCTTTCATTTTTATTCGTTTGTGTGCGACTAACTCATCCTAAAATGCTTATGAATTTTTGTAGATGTCATACAAAAGATGTTTTCACCACTACCAGGGCTCCGTCAATCGCTCAATGTCTCGCATTATATACCTACCGGCTTACTCCCGGGAGTACAAGTATCAGAGGGATGCCACAAGCTTTAAAGGTATAAATTATTAGTTTTAATTTTATTTTTATAATTTAATTTTTAACTATTAAAATAAACAATTTAAGACACATTTATAAAATAAATAAAATAACTATAATGAATAAAATTATCTTTATATCTGATCCATTTATTAAAATTCTCGATGTCATGACTTACCGATTTTTACCAAATTATTGGCGTTTAGGCCATTTAGCGAAATTTTTCGTAATACTGTCGCCTCGATAGTAAAGTGTCAACCAATTTGTTCGATAAAAGAACCTATAGAATAAAGTAGATGACGCATTAAATGTAAAACATTCAAATAAGGCCCTACTCAACTAAGCCAAGGACTACATTTATTTGCTATAAAAGGATATGTATCAAATTGGGTGCTTGACATCTTTCATAACAGTTATACAAAAATATGAATGTAATAAAACGATAATTTATAAGTATAAATAAATAGTTTTCATTACTGTACACACTACATAGACAATCATAGAAAAAAAAAACATTTTTTAAAACAGAAAAACGAAAGTAAATGCTTTCACTCGTAGACAGAGAATGCTATAGACAAAGTGATATATTTTATCGCAGTCACACAAGAGAAAGAGCAACTTACGCCGATGTCGTGTAAAGAAATGAGA